ATGGTATTATCAATAATTTTAATAGCAATAAATACTAATAAAATTAGTCATTAATTGCCAGTAGTCACATTTTTCAATGAAACTAAAACAAAATTTACATAAAATAAAATTTCAATAAAAGCAGCCACCAAGAGTTATTTTATATTCATAGTAGAGTACATAAAAGCATTTATCTATTTTGTAACAATAATATCACTATCTCTAGTAACAATAAATATCCATAAAATTACTATTACTAATAGTTATTTCTTTCAAAAATATTAGAATAAAATTTCAATCATACTAGCCTCCAAGGGTTAATTTATATTCATAGCAAAGTGCACAGAAGCATTGATCTATTTTATGTCAACAATGTTACTATTTCTAGTGACAATAAATATTCATAAAATTACTATTACTAATAGTTATTTCTTTCAAAAATATTAGAATAAAATTTCAATCAAAGTAGCCTCCAAGGATTAATTTATATTCATAGCAAAGTGCACAGAAGCAATGATCTATTTTATATCAACAAGGTTACTATTTCTAGTGACAATAAATATCCATAAAATTACTATTACCAATAGTTATTTCTTTCAAAAATATTAGAATAAAATTTCAATCAAAGTAGCCTCCAAGGATTAATTTATATTCATAGTAAAGAGCACAGAAGCATTGATCTATTTTATATCAACAATGTCACTATTTCTAGTGACATTGTAATGTCCATAATTACCAATAACGTCCAGTATTGCCAATAATTACCAGTGTTCCGTTCCAAGACAGAATTTACCGTCCCAAGAAATTAATTTATTTCTCTATTACCACTCGTGTCACCTGGACACTATATGTGTCAATCCCTAGCAAAGTCCCATAAACCACCATTAGGTGATGGTCATAGCATTTCGAATTTGTTTAAACCTTGTTTAAGTCCCATAAACAACCAAGAAAAGACACTGAAATCGGTACACACCTTTAACACACATACGCAACTAACAAAAAAACACACACCAACCACTCACACTTCTCACCAACCAATCTCAACACACCCAAACTTACGAAAACACTGACACACGTCGCACAAGATTCACCACGTATTCAACCACCAGATAATATCTGCATCAAGATTCGCACACAATTCAATCTCAACACCATTCGTCATATTTCATTAAAACAAATAACCAGTGTTATTATTAAACGCGTCAGTCCACAATCATTTTTAACTCTAACCACGTCTAGATCAATTAAAGTCTTCGCTTACAATATCGCGTGAGACTCGTGGTAAGGAATTCGGGTCAAACATGACTATCACGAGTGAGAGCCGTGGTAAGAAAATCGGGCCATACACGATTATCACGAGTGAGAGCCGTGGTTTGTAGATAGGGTCCAACGTGAACAACACGGGTCAGGCTCGTGGTTAATTTTCGCCGATTTTTGTGTTTCGGTCTCAGTTACGTGTTATTCTTCGCGTTTGGATGAAATAATTCGTCGTGTGACCGACTGTACTGTTGATTATGGCACGCGTCATCGGAACTTAAATAGGACAAGAATTTAATTTACAGCAAAATCGGTTTTTGGGTTCGGTAAAGTTATACGTTAACATAATCGCAAGATACCTATAAAATTCCTATATTCGTATAATACATTGCAAGTCTGCAAACAAGAAAGTAATACTGCAGGAGCAAAACATGATTATTTTCACTTATACTTCGTAAATGTTGTACGAAGGCAGTAGAGGGCTGTCGTGATGGATGCCTTCTCTCAGTATGCTCTACCAATTGAGATACTGAGAACCTTGGGTGTGCAATAAGGGACACCTTCGTGTTTGCATATACTTTATTACACTGGTAGTTGTTGCGATTTCGAATGTGATGTGTATGCGTTATACTAAGTGTTCTATATGCGTTCTTACTGACTTCTGTCTGAGTTCTGTTTTGCTTCCGATGCGTTCTCACTGAGTTCCGTATGATTTCTGGTGTGCTCTAACTGAGTTCTGTATGATTTCTGATAGCTTTTGACTGAGTTCTGAATAACGTCTCATGTGTTCTGACTGAGTTCCGTATGATTTCTGATATGGTGTGACTGAGTTGTGAATAACGTTTGATGTGCTCTGACTGAGTTCTGTATGATTTCTGATGTGTTGTGACTGAGTTATGTATGATTCTTTATGTGTTGTGACTGAGTTATGTATTATTTCTGATGTGTTCTGACTGAGTTATGTATTATTTCTGATGTGTTCTGACTGAGTTCTGAATAACGTCTGATGTGTTGTGACTGAGTTATGTAAGATTTCTGATGTGTTGTGACTGAGTTATGTATTATTTCTGATGTGTTCTGATTGAGTTCTGAATAACGTCTCATGTGTTGTGACTGAGTTATGTATGATTTCTGATGTGTTGTGACTGAGTTCTGTATGATTTCTGATGTGTTGTGACTGAGTTCTGTATGATTTCTGATGTGTTGTGACTGAACTATGTATGATTTCTGATATGGTGTGACTGAGTTGTGAATAACGTCTGATATGCTCTGACTGAGTTCTGTATGATTTCTGACGTGTTGTGACTGAGTTATGTATTATTTCTGATGTGTTCTGACTGAGTTCTGAATAACGTCTGATGTGTTGTGACTGAGTTATGTATGATTTCTGATGTGTTGTGACTGAGTTCTGTATGATTTCTGATGTGTTGTGACTGAGTTCTGTATGATTTCTGACGTGTTGTGACTGAGTTATGTATTATTTCTGATGTGTTCTGACTGAGTTCTGAATAACGTCTGATGTGTTGTGACAGTTATGTATGATTTCTGATGTGTTGTGACTGAGTTATGTATGATTTCTGATGTGTTGTGACTGAGTTACGTATGATTTCTGATGTGTTGTGACTGAGTTATATATGATTTCTGATATGGCGTGACTGAGTTGTGAATAATGTCTCATGTGTTCTGATAGAGTTCTGAATAACGTTTGATGTGTTCTGACTGAGTTCTGTATGGTTTCTGATATGTTGTGACTCAGTTCCGAATAACGTCTGATGTGCTCTGACTAAGTTCTGAATAATGTCTGATGTGTACTGATCGAGTTCTGAATAACGTTTGATGTGTTCTGACTGAGTTCTGCATGGTTTTTGATATGTTATGACTGAGTTTTGAATAACGTCTGATGTGCTCTGACTGAATTCTATATGATTTCTGATGTATTTTGATTGAGTTCTGAATAACGTCTGATGTGTTCTGACTGAGTTCTGAATAACGTCTGATGTGCTCTAACTGAGTTCCGAATAACGTCTTCTCGAGTTTGTTTTGATTGGTTAAGAGCGGATGTTAGTGGAGGAAAGAGAGAGGTTTTGCTTGGACATGGGTGTTTCAGAAGTACCCTTGGTCGAGGAGTGGGAAACTGTCAAGAGAGTTTCCCTTTCGATATTGTTTTGGTCAACATCACAATTTATGGATAGAGATCTAATTGTCACTTCAATGGATTAATCACGCGTAGGGGCAATCTGTTGGGTCCGGTTGTAGATTGTAGGCTTGTGCGTAGTCTGTGCTTTCGTGTTAATTACATTGCATAATCCGCTACAAGGACGATAAGGCACACCTGGCCTTTGGTATTGCCAAATGTAATATTAAACACATATTTAATACGTGTATGAAATACAAGTATAATTAAATAAACTTAGGAAATAAACATTCAACGGAAGAATCTGAAGTTAATGCTTCAGAGATAAGTCTACGAACTTGTATCTATTTCTTACGTCTGTCTCACTTTATCTCGATTGTTTCGTTTGCTTTCTTCGTTACACGGTGCTATATGACCGGGCTAATAAGAAGGGATATTTCTAGTATAAGGAAAATTGCGATGACGTAAGAATGGGTGGATTGGTGGGAATTCGGTCCTACGTTCTGATTAGCGTTCTTCTTCTCTGCGACGCACAGTACAATCCACGTCTCTCGTCCCTGATACTCGTGTTTCGCCCGATTCCTTACCACGAGTCTCGCACGATATCGTAAGTGAAGGGGTTAAATCGGAAGACAAGGGGTTAAGTTTGATCAGACCACGTCTGTCATTCGTGATACTCGTGTTTGACCCGATTCCATACCACGAGTCTCGTACGATATCGTAGGCAAAGGGGTGAAATCGTAAGATAATAGATTAAGTATTATTCGACCACGTCTGTCATTCGTGATACGCGTGTTTGACCCAATTCCTTACCACGAGTCTCGCACAATATCGTAAGTGAAGGGGTTAAATCGGAAAACAAGGGGTTAAGTTTGATCAGACGACGTCTGTCATTCGTGATACTCGTGTTTGACCCGATTCCTTACCACGAGTCTCGCACGATATCGTAAGTGAAGGGGTTAAATTGGAAGACAAGGGGTTAAGTTTGATCAGACCACGTCTGTCATTCGTGATACTCGTGTTTGACCCGATTCCATACCACGAGTCTCGTACGATATCGTAGGCAAAGGGGTGAAATCGTAAGATAATAGATTAAGTATTATTCGACCACGTCTGTCATTCGTGATACGCGTGTTTGACCTGATTCCATACCACGAGTCTCTCGCGATATCATAGCCAAAGGGGTTAAATCGTGAGACAAGGGGTTAAGTTTGATCAGACCACGTCTGTCATTCGTGATACTCGTGTTTGACCCGATTCCATACCACGAGTCTCGTACGATATCGTAGGCAAAGGGGTGAAATCGTAAGATAATAGATTAAGTATTATTCGACCACGTCTGTCATTCGTGATACGCGTGTTTGACCCGATTCTATACCACGAGTCTCTCGCGATATCATAGCCAAAGGGGTTAAATCGTGAGACAAGGGGCTAAGTTTGATCAGACCACGTCCTACAACACTGTCGCGTCAACGTAGCAGGCTTTACAACCCCGTGAAACGCCAAACGAGAGAGTTGCAGTGTTCGGGACGCAACCCCCTTTGTCCACGAGACAAAATTTGAACGACAGCCTTCGAGGATTAATCGGACAGTGAACAAGTTAGGACACTATACAAGGCAAGACACTGACCTGGTTGTGGTACTCGATCCCCATGCTCAAGGTATTGATCAAAATCGCCACTAGGATACCCTGTTGAAAGTATTTGTGCTCGACCAGCTTCTTGATCGACCGTCTTATGCAGCGAATCACGCAAATGCAACGATTGCCGCAAGTTCTCAGGAATCTTCTCGCGCGGGAAGTTTTCGCCCATTTGTCACCTTCCTCTGGCCATTGATCAGTGCCCTGGAGTTCGCAGCAACAGGAGCAATTATCGATGTCCGACGCTAACCACTGGCTACGATCCTCCAGGGTAATATGTCGATCCGTTATTCCTGAAATAAATGTTCCTCTACATGTATACACACTATTCAAAACGCGTGTCATCGCGAGAGATCGAACGTCACAGTGCTTTCGATCATTCGTGATTGTTTTCCCTGCCGCTCGTTTCATTTTTGTAATTTAAATCAGAGTAATTGCGTGGAAAATGTAACTGTGTCTTTCACGCTATTCGACGATATTCGATGATATATGTTTTCAGGAACGTCATTAAGAAACAATTTTTACTTGAATAATGTGCTCATGAAAAGTAGTTTTCACTGAGCACGGATTTTCATTGTAACGATGTTATCGACTTATCGAGATATTTCACGATAGCCACGCCTATGGTTTAAACGATAATTTAAATTAAAATTTAAGAGGGAGAGATTAAAATTGAATGGAGAAATTCATATATTTAGGTTATCTACTGGGTGTTCCATTTTTGTTATAATTCAAAAATAATTAAAAACGATGATAGCTCATCGAATATATGAATCAGCTTGTTATACATTAGCATAATTTAAATTATTTGTATTTTTTTTTTCTTTAATACAATGAATTACGTATGAATCATTTGCATAATTGAAACAGGCATTTTGACACGGCGAAAAATTGTGTAGACAAATTATTGAAAAGAATTAAGGCGATGCATGTTATTTTAATATTTTAGTTTATCTTTTAGTATTAAGTAACTTTGTATTTTATAATAAAATATATATCAAATAACAAGTTATTTTCTTTATATTAATTGTCTACAGAATTTTTCTGCGTGCCAATTTAAATGGCACAGCCTGTATACTGTCAATTCCTTTTAGCCCAGTTTTCTATTTTATTTAACTAATTTTGTATTTTATAATTAAATATACCAAACAACAAATTATTTTCTTTATAATAACTGTCTACAGAATTTTTCTGCCAATTTTTCTGTCAATTTAAATAGTACAGCCTGTATACTGTCAATTCCTTTTAGCCCAGTTTTCTATTTTATTTAACTAATTTTGTATTTTATAATTAAATATACCAAACAACAAATTATTTTCTTTATAATAACTGTCTACAGAATTTTTCTGCCAATTTTTCTGTCAATTTAAATGGTACAGCCTACATACTGTCAACTTCTTTTAGCTTAGTTTTCTATTTTATTTAACTATTTTGACAAATATTATGCGAGATAAATATTATGGAATGTTGGTCAGTGATGGTCTACCGTAAGTACAAAATTTGTTCCAAACATGATAATGCTAAATTGCCTAAAATTGCTATAACTTTTTAGGTGTAAAATAGTATAAAATGTGATGTTAAATCGGTTTGACACGAAGTAAAAACGAAAAAAGGTAATTTAAAAACGGGGTGTTAAATTGGTTTAATATAAAGTCAAATTTAAAACAAAAGAAATAAATAATTTAGACTTTTGTTTATTATCGTGGAGAATCTAATGAAAATGTAAGTATTATTAATTTTGGCCAAAAACTTTTTGCCAAGGGTAGTAGGACACAGTGTACAACGGTGAGGTAGAAAATGTGTGATGTGTGAGTTGTATATAGGTTCAGAAGTATTGGGACACCTGCTGGTCTCATACAGGGCGTAATAATTCATCGAGATTATTAGGAGAACGATTAATCATTTAAGAGTTTGCATTTACTTAAGAGAGAGGTGCACAACGCATGCCAACGATTTGTAAAAATAATTTGCAAGAGATAGGAGAAAATAAGCAATTAAAAATTGTAAACTTCATTAATTAATAAGCAAGAGTTATAATAATGTAAATAAATAAAATATACGTTTATTTAAAATTATTATCTTGTTTATTAAAACTATTATTTAGAATTTATTTAATTCTAGCCTAATCTGCTAAACTAATTTATAGGAACTCTTTGTAAAATTTAGACGAAAATAATGAAGTAATAATAGTAAAAATAATTAATAATTAATAATTGATAATCGTAATAATTCACGTGTGTTTTTGATTCATTTTACACAAAAGCAATTCATTTCAAATGATTAATCTGCTACATTTTATTTTTGCAATTTTTTCAGCAATTTGAACTTGTATATTCGTTTGATAAACTTAATGCTGATTTTTATTGAAACAGACACGTAAGTACTTATATATAATTAATTATTTTTATCATAATATCGTAATCATTGGAAGTATTCTTATTTACAGTATTAACATTTTTAATTTACTTTATGTAAATGATGTGATATACTTGAACAAGAATTTTTATGATAAATTTTTATAAATACAAAGCTACGTAAAAATAAAATATTAATTTCATGATTAGGAAACTGTCTGATTGTTTATTTATAATTCCAATGCATTTGGTATCTCGAGAATGATACCAATTTTAGATTCGATATTTTATTATTATAATACATAAAAAAAATACTATATTAAATACTGTAAAAAAATTAACAAAAGAAAAAGAAAATTTAATGATACGAATTCTAAAATTAATTAAAAAGTGATTGAAAAATATGATATAGAGAAGAATATTTGATTTCGTTATAACTGGCAAAATTTTTATTATGGTATCAAATTTTGTTAATTTTATTATGATTATTAACAATTTAATAATTAAGTAATTGTTATATACGTGTTTTAATAAATAGTAGTGCATACATAAACTTCTCTTATTTTTTGGCAACAATTTTCTGTGACATGTAATTTTCTACCACGATTAATTTTTCAATTAGCCTGTACTAACAATAAGTACCCAATTTGAAAAATGAAGTTTTGGGAAAACCGTGATTCAATTTTTTAATGCATGTCATTTTTCACTCGACACGTGTAACTTCGCTATTTGTAAAAATTTGAACTTCAAATTTTAAGAATATATTTTTAAAATTTTCTACATTTAATATACGAAAAAAAAAGAAAAATTGAAATCGAATTTTCGACATCGTCAGTCGACGAATTTTTTTTTAAACTTCTAGATCCATATTTTCCAACATCTCGTAATAACCCTTTGCACTGGGAGATTTTTTAATTAAAGAAAAATAACGATTCGATAATTTTATTTTTAAAAAGAAAATAAGAAATCATACAGAATTTAACGCGTAGAATTATTTCGTTTCAATACTTCGCGAATCGTTGCGTGATTTTAAGTTTAATATATTAATTGACATCAATTTTTAGAATTTCTTTAACACGTTGACTGCCACGCGCATTTTACGTGGTTTGCCCATGGCGCCAACATGAATATTTTATTATGCGATGCATACTATGTTGAAATATTATTTACAACAGATAAGGAGAGTTGTATAATCGCGTTTAATGTATTTTTCGTGGTGGGGGTCACCGGTGACCCCCGAGGCGCTGTAGACCATTTTTGTCATTATCAATTGTTTAAAAAGCAACTCGAAAAAATATTTCAATTCCCGATTTTAGGGTGAAGTTAGCGATGTATTTAGTGAAATATTTTGATGACGAAGATTGCATTTCATCGAGCAATTACGTACAGAAAAACGTGCTCACGAATTTAAAAAGAAACCTGGAAGTGTGCGAAATGTAAGGCGATTTTGCAAAGTGTGCTATGAAAATAATTCAAATCAGCTAGGAAGAATGAGAGCAAAGAATTGCACTAAAAAAGTGGCGACATATTGTG